AAGGGAATTCAATCATTTACAACATGACAAACGAACTAGGCAGTCATTTTCCTTTTTTTTTTTTTGGCAGTCATTTTTCATAGTGAAACCCATCAACTACTAACTGAAAATGCTGTATGATCATGTTCACAAGTACATACTCAAAGACAAAAGTGAGTATAGGAACCAACAAAACAAAAAGTTACTTTTAAGGGAGATATTGATGGTACCCAAAGGGTACGAAGTTGCTAACAGGGGGATGAGTGAGTATATTGATTCAATGAACAGCATGAAAAAAAATCCATTTAGTGTTAGACTGCACACTGGAAATTTGAAAAAAAAGGCCTTAGGGGATATTGCCATCCTTTAAGAAAGGAAATACTCCCTGAACCTACAAAGAGCATTTTACAGACTTAGAAGGTTTGGATTTGTAAAAAAGTAAAAAGAGGTTTATAAGAAGGTTGAATGGAAAGAAATGACAAGTGGGAAAGGTATAATATTATAATCTCAAAAAATAAAATAAATTTTTTTAAAGTATGGAATGTGAGCTTAGCTGATACCAAGATGGACATGCTAAGTAGACTGACTACAAAAATTTCACAAGCCATAGCAGACTTTCATTTTCACACTGAGCTGTATCCAAAGCTTTTCACAACTGGTTTTTACTTTAGAATAGTGTCAGAATCTTTCTAATTTAGATACACCCTTTAATACATTTAAACTTTTTTTACAATTCTTCTGTTTCAACACCTTGAAGAACTGGGAATAAAGGTCTTGCTTTACTATAGCACTGTAAACGCTATTTTTTAATTAAGAATATAAAGCTTATAGTAAATCACTAATTTTTACCATCAACATATAAACAATACTTATTAGGAGTGGTTGTCAAAAGAAATTCTATAAGTGAATTAAAATATTAATTTAATATAGACCTTAGGTATTTGTTACTGCAACAACAACAACAAAAGCCTGACAGGCAACTTGAAGAAGGAGAGGTCATTTTCGTTCACACTTTGATAAGATAGACTGACTATCTTTGCAGAAGTGAATGGGAAAGGAGCTTTGAAAAGGTGACTGTATGTCATTCAGAATCAAGAAGCAGAGAGTAATGAAATCTAGCCCTCATCCCCATTTTTTTTCCAGATTGTAACCAATTACAACATGTGGAATGGTACCATCACAAACCATGTTGAGCATTGTTTTATCCCCTCCTTGATTAATTTAATTTAGATGATCTAACATTACACACACACACACACACACACACACACACACACACACACTCACACACTGACTAAGATTTGTTTGAATGGGAGATGGAGAGACCCAGATTTGTTTAAATGATAATTCTAAACCTTTAAGGTTGACAGAGAATATCTGACTGCACAGTGTGTAATTTAAGAGTTCAAGGAATGTGCAAAATTTCTCAACTCTATCTACAGCATTCTAAATATGAAATGTGGATAATGCTTCCTAACATAATTAACTTTAGCATACAGTATGTTTTTTCTTCACCTTTAAACTATAGAAACTAAAAATTAAAATTTATCTGATAATATTATCTGTAAAATAAATGTTACTATCATATAACATAGAAAACCATAAAAAGCAATACATAAATACTTTATAAAAATAAAAGTTATATTAGTTTAGCACTATTAATTAAATTCTAATCACATAATTCAATTTTACTCACTGATTAATTTTAAAATTTAATGTATTAGAAAAATATTTTTCACAATGCATCTGTATAATCAAAATTAAGGTTTTGTTTAAATTCTCTCCCCAGATAAAATTTAATTTCATTTCCCCATTATTGTCCCGTTAAAATTTTGATCTTTATCAGGCTATTTCAAAATAAAGGCCATATTAGTGAAACTGTGTGCCCGTTAATTTACTTGACTTGAGAATTAAAAAGTAATAACCAATTTTAGACATTTATTTGACATTACAATGAATGATTTATTGAGAAATAAAACTTTTATCTGTGTATTAATCACACTTATGTGGGATATTATTGAGCTACCCAGAAGTTTTTAGCCTTTGTCTTGAAATTTACAGTTGCCTTAATGAGCTGCTACTCACATTTCCTTTCATAATTGTAGGAGATAAACACAACAAATTGCTCTCGTTCATTTTCTAGAATGCAGCTCATAGTTAGCACTAATTGCTCAATTCCTTTGTGTTTTTCGTGAATTCACATGGATAAAGTTGGCATTGTTGTGCAGATTTAGACGTAATTTTGTTGCTGTCTGGTGTGAGTTTATCTTTTCAACAGTACTTTGCTTTGTAATTTCTGTAAATTGACAGGCAAAATATTCAAGATTTATTCAATAAATAAAATGCCTCGTACCATTGTAACCTGAACACACACTACAACTAAACAAGGAAGATGCATATCTTGTTATTCTAATACCAGCTTTTAAATAATAATATGATATAATATGTAAAGTTAATGAATGCGAGCTCTCAGGATTTAATGAAGGAATTAAATTTAGGTACAACACAGTAAAGCAACCTCTGAATTTAATTAATTACTTCATTACATTGATTTTATTATTTGTATTCTCTCTTGGTTTTTTCATGCATGTGTGTCTGTGCCTAGGTATTGGATAAATCTTTAAGTGGCTTCTTTAAAGTAATTTGGGATCATTATTATTTATATTTGGTATTCTTGAACATGTCTCACCACCCCTTTTATTCATGTTTACCATTGTTACTCTATCATTTCTACATTGCTTATTATATGTAACACCATAAAGAAGCAAGTGAGACAGACGTCTGTTTCATCCTCATAGCATCCCTATTTAGAGTATTTATACTGTGAAACGTCTGTTTTCCTGAGGCTCATGTGAATATCCACCCCAGAGCTTTATTGCAGCTGGTACACAGCACAGTGGCATAAACCCTTCAGAGTATCTCAGAGTGCAACTCACCCTGCTTCAGACATTACCAGTCACTTAACATTAGTGTCTTCTAAAAATTAATAGTATTGAAGACAACATTAATCCCAGAAATCTCAATTGCATTCTTCTCAAACCTCTTGCCCCTCACTCTTGCATGCTTAATAAATGTCTGTGGATGAGCTCACAGGCATGCTCTTGTGATCTGGCACATGAATCATTTCCAGATTTTTATAGTTTAATGATAAAATATAAATGTTTTCATTCATAACATCATCTTTCATCATCCTAACATACTTTGTTTTTGCTCCATTACCTAAGGCTTGACATCTGCCACTCTTCTGTCTCTGAACAGATGCTTGGGAATTTAGGAGCTTTTATGGTTAGTGGAAGATGGGAAATGTCAGATGCCCGCTCAATCAAGGTGAGGGTGTCAGTTTCCAAAGTCAAAGTTACTTCTTCCTTTTCAGAGAAGATCCTGTATTCCTCATTCATCATCAGAGCCTCTTCTCTCTGGGTCATCTTTTTACTACACAGCTAGACTGTGAACACTGTGGAGTCCTGTCTTTCCAACACTTGTTGTGTAGGTAAAGTCTAAATCAATTTTAATATGCTGCTACATGCTACATTAGAGCACATGCATTCAGTGACATATGTCTTTGTAAGAGAAAAAGTCCATGGAAAGTATTAAATTTAGTTATAAATTGTGAGTGAATATTTTTTACTTAAAAGTACTAAAAACTTGGCTGTAATAAACATATATTTATGATTTCTGCATTGTAAATTATAACTTAAAATATTGTTTTCATATTAAATTTATTTCTGGGAAAGTCTATTTCTTATCAGTAGTGTTCAGTAAATATCTAATAATATCCTATATTAAAACCTTTCTACATTATCAAAGATATCTGAAATTATACTAGATACATATGTATCTATGCAGTATAAATATTGCTTATATGTTCTCTTCCTCAACAAAAGTTCCACAGTTAGAAGTTGACCTCTCAATTATAAATTACATTGAATAAAGTTTAAATTATATAAAATTGCATTTTATAATTTACATCTACAGAAAAATTTCCCAAATTCTTTTACTATAGACACTAAACAAACATATATCAGGACATTCCATTTTGTTTAATGATCTTTCTTCTAAAGATATTTCAATGTTTTCCAAGATTACCTTCATTATATGTGTATGTGTGTGCCAGTGCTCATGCTTGTACTTCTTAAAATATGAAAGTGATCATCTTTCAACTTAACGGCACAAAGACATGCACACATTCATTTTCATTTCATAAAATAATGATTTTTATACTTAATGTTTGATTCTTGTATTAAGTATGAGATAAATACAAAACACACAAAGCAAGCTCTTTGCACTTATTTTCTTATTGTTATATTCATCCAAAAATTTACTGTATCCATTCTCTGCTCAGTTATTAATGTTTTTGCCACTGGTCAAACACAACAATATGAATAGCTTAATATTTTGTAGGAATGCCACTAAAATGGTATAATATCAAAACCCCATTCTTTATTTCTCCTCTCTTTAGATTGGTTAACTGCATCTCATTTCATTTAATTCATTTTGATAGTCAAACTTACTAAGTACAAAATCAAAGAACTTTGGTAACCAGATAGTATTTTTCTACCAATTCCACATTATGGCATATATTACCCCAAATACTTGTACAATCTAATTCTTTTAAATACACTAGGCAAGATTTTTTCTTTCTTTTCTTTTTTTTTCTAAACTCACTTTCATCAAAATAGAACATCTTGCTGAGGAACAGTTGTAAATACGATCTATATGATTTGAAGGTTTATCTTACATACAGCATTCCAAGGAGTCACTCTTAACAAAAATGAAACTCAAAGCTTAAGTAAATTTTAATTATATGTGCTCATGAAAAGCAAACTTTGACATATAAATTGAAAATATTGCATCCCTCTGCATCTAATTAATTATACCTTATAACTAAAAGCAACTGAAAAACTAAAACACATTTTCAAACATAATCATTTAAAAAACTGGCCCAGGGAATAGCCAGAAAGACATCATAGAAATGAAATAAACAAAGGTAACGGACAATGTTACTGTTAGTTCATGTTTACCTTGATGGCAGTGGATGCAATCTGGATATGGTGAAGTCTGCGAAGAGTGCTGTCCCTGTCAATAAAATAGGACGCAGCCAGCTGATGGAGTGTCTCCAGAGTGACAGATGAACTATTAGTGCTTGGATCACTTCCTTCAGATCTTTTGCTCAGCTTCCGCTTGTCCACAAAAATTGTGAGTGACTCCTCTCCTGCATTAATGATATAAAAACAATTGTATTTCCAAGTTTAAGTAAATTTAAAACTTATCTCCTAGGATGAGTGCCTACAAACTGCTGTGAAGGAAAAAACAGTGAGAACCACTAAATTTAATGAACATTAAAATTTTATAATTTTCTTTCCCAAATACCTATAAGGACTACAGATATTTAAAGCTTTCAAAATATCTGTAACAAACTTTAAATATCAACATATTAAAGGATAATTTCATTAAACTAATTTATTTTGTTATGTAGTTTATCTTGGTGCATACTTGTATACAACAAAGCAAAGTCTGAGAAAACATTAATTGACACTTTTTGTTTTGTTTTGGTTTGTTTTTTTGTATTAAAGCATAAATTTTACCACAGGAACAGCTTAACAAGATGAAAAAAAAGAAAAGCTAAGCAGACTTCTGCTGTACATTTGAAATGCACAGAATCCCTGTCTTTAGCATGTATAAATATATTCGTAACAAATTCCCAATTTCCGTTCCTATTCTGTATTAAAGTATTCTGCATTAATAAGCCCCTGTAAATCACTAAACTCAATGGAAGGTGTAGAAACCGATAATGACAATCGAGTGACAGAAGAGTTACAGGGAAGCATTGGTGTCCAAAGAACCGATAGTAATGCAAACCAGGCATACTATCCAAGTTGGACATAAAGAACTTGTTCTCAGACTTTAACGGCATTGTGTATTTATCTAGCAAATAATTACCAAATTTGCTTCATGTTCTTTCTCAGTAACCCAAAGTGTGCCCAATTAAAAACTGAAAGGGTAATTTGGGAAGGTAAAATAGTCTCATCCACAAGAGCAGCATATATCTATCTGAAAGATGATGTTCATTTTATAATAGCATAGCTTTTGTGACCATCTAATGATATTAGACCATAGGCGTCTGCAAGACAGTCAATCCACATTTCAATAAGCTCTTAATAAAAACTATACATATACAAAACACTAAGTGAATTAAAATAATTTTAGAGATTTTAATATAAATATAAAATTTCCTCCATTTCTTTTCCTCTCTCAAAACCTAAGGGAGGATATTTATTTTTTATTTTTTATTTTTTTTTGATTTTTGAGACAGGGTTTCTCTGTAGTTTTTGGTGCCTGTCCTAAGGGAGGATATTTAACACTTAATATTTTTCTATAATAAACGATGCAGGCCATAATGTCCTTTTTTTCTAGAAATCTTTTCTGAAGTCACAGTTTAAAGGATAGAACTCTGAGAGTTCACAGAGAAATGTTTATACTGATAAACATATGTGATTTCATTCACTGAAGTGTACAATCTAAATGAATCCAACAAAAAGGGGGTGATGAAGAAAGGCGACTGTAAGAAATAAAAATATACCTGGAAAAGAATAGTTTTCAATATACCCTTGTAATATGTGCAAAAGACACTGAGACATTGTGTTTAACTTTTGGAAACGAGTCTTGTCTATCACTAAGAACTGAGCATGCCCCAAATACAGAGTAAAATAAAATACCTTGGTATAATGGAGAACAGCACAGATCACATCTGCACATACACACTAATAATGGTAAAAAGGGTATCTAACAAGTAGTTTACAAGGGAGTTTATAAATATGTGTACATTTATTTTAATCTGATAAACACGAGTAGAAAATTTGAAGGAAAAAGCATAAATAAGAATAATTGCTTACTTCAGGAGAAAGGAAAGAAATTTGAGAGAGGAAATGTTGGAAAGAAGGATTCACTAATTATGGTGATTAGATACTCAAAATATGTTAAGAGCCAAATTTCTTTATACACAAAGTTATAATAACACAAATAAAGAAAATAAACTATGGTCAACATCAAATGTTACTATTATCATGCTCATAGAAAAAATTGTTTTAAGAGCTTAAAATTGTAGCTCATTTTTGTAAATCAATTTAAAGGGAGTTTTTTAAGATAAGTATATAATATAAAGACCTAAACACCATTTTACAATCTATTTACAATTAAGGAAGCCTTTATAACTAAGCATAATTTTATGTATGATGACTACATTCAAATGTATGGACTTTTCTTTGCAAGTCTTTCCCCTTGGGATAGATAGGTTTTAATACACTTAGAAAAACAATAATGGAATGAGGATAACGTTTTTTTCTAGAGTGCATTGGTTTTAAATGAAATTCATTCATATTAAGTTTTCATTAAAAATTGATAAATTCCTAAACAAGACTAGGGTTAAAATGAAATTCCTGATCATTAAAATTCAGCCAAATAAAAGGAATTTTTTAGAATATTTTCTTCAGTTTTTTTGTCTTTTAACTGTAGCTTCCTTGCTTTTCAAATTTAATTTTGTTTTTAGATTTATTTTTCATTTTAATGGTGCACTGGTGGCTGTGTCCTTGTGTGTGTATGTGCATATGTGACTGCAGGTACCCATGATATCTGGGAGAGGACATCAGATCCTATGGATTTAGACATTCAGATGTTTGTGAGTCATCCATTCAGGAAATAAATAAGCAAATAAACACTGGTCTGGTTGAGGAGCTGCACCTTCTGCCAACTGCTGAGAAAGTTCCCCAACTTGTGTGCCGGTTTCTCTGTACTGGGCATATTCAAACATTATTTGAATGTTACATGTTGCTGGAGAGAAAAGATAATTTTAAAAACGATGAACGATTCTTTCAGGTTTAGAGAAATGTACATAAGTATGACATTGGTCCAAAGTTAGTGTTCAAGACATTGAGTTCTAAGCATGGCCTCAATTTTGTGTATGGATCACAAATTATATATTAAGACTTGATTTATGTATAAATCATAGATGAAAGTAGAAATTATTTTGGAATAACAGTTGTATGTAAGAAAAGATATTTGAAAACAGTTTAGGATATGGGTAAAATATTATTTTCTTATTGTTTATTTTTTAAATGACACTTTATTCCCAATTTTCTGAAATACCGTCATACTGATTTCCAAAGTGTGAGCAAGGAACGAGATATTTTGATTGAGGGAGCCATTACACAGTTGGCAGAAACCTGACTTTAGGAAAGTTCCCAGGCATCCACAAGAATGACCACACCTAAGATCCTAAGCAATAGAGGAGAGGGGGCCCAATCTTTGGTCAAACTGATGATTATCTTAAATATCACTATAGAGCCTTCATCTAGCAACTGATGGAGGCAGAAGCAGAGACCCACAACAGAGCATTTGACTGAGCTCCGAAAGTCCAGTTGAAGAGTGGAAGGAATGAGAATATGAGCAAGGAAGGGTAAGACCATGACGGGTTCACACACAGAAACAGTTTGCCTGAGCTAATGGGAACTCACTAACTCCAGCCGGACTGGTAAGGAACAAGCATAGGACTAAACTAGTTCCTCTGATTAGGGATGACAGTTGCATGGCTGGGGCAGACTAAGGGGCCACTGGCAGTGGCACCAGGATTTATCTCTACTGCATGTACTGGCTTTTGGGAATCCTATTTTCTTTGCATGTATACCTTGCTCCACCTAGATATAGAAGGGAGGGACTTGTACCTTCCACAAGGCAATGTGCTTTACCCTCTCTGAGAAGTGGAGGGCGTGGGGTGAGAGGGTGTGTGGAGGCAATGAGAGGAGAGGAGGAAGTATGAATTTGGATTGGTAATTTTTTTAAAAAGTCTAATTTTTTTAAAAAAATGACACTTTAATTACAGCATTTATCTCTTTGCTTTCCTCTCTTTCTACTCCTATAACCCTCCCTAATCTTCAAGTTTATTGCCTATTTTTCACTGAATCCATGTAAAATTGAGAAAAACAAAACAAAAATTCTTTTAAGCCAAAGCATATTTAGTAAGACTTTTTTATTAATAAAGCCTGCCTTTTTCATTTTACTTTAAAAAAATTTTTTAGCTCAGTCCTTTAGTTTGTGCCCATATGCTGAAAATTAGTTCTCTGACTGCATATTTCTATGAAACATTTTTCTGTCATCATTTTTTAGGTGATAAGAAAATCTATATTATTAATTTCTCATAAAATTCCAGTTATCTTTTACCCCACACTACTGAAGCAGAATAACCTTCTTTTTAACTTTACGAAAATACACTGATTTAAGAAAATTTGCCCAATATGTTGTCCCATACAAAATTGAAGATAATACATCGCAAGATGCAGTAATTGTTGTTTTTGCTAAAGTGGGTAAAATATGCTAATGTGATAAATAACATAGAGAATACTGAACATTTAAGCAGACATGAGCATAAGGAAATGTGGACTAGAAATGAACAAGCAAAAAGAATATGCATCTAAGGAAGAATTATTTCCATCTATTTTTATTACCTTAGTATATATAATCAGAGTTATTTGTATTCTCTTCTAACCTGAAAAAGTCGATATTTCATTCAATAAGAAAAAATATATAATTTTTTGCTGACTTTTATTGAGATCTACATTTTTCTCTGCTCCCATCCCTGCCTCTCCCCTCCAGACTCCAACTCTCCCCTAAGGTCCCCATGCTCCCAATTTACTCAGGAGATCTTGTTTTTTTCTCCTTCCCATGTAGGTTAGACATATGTATGTCTCTCCTAGTGTTCTCATTGTTGTCTAAGTTCTCTGGGATTGTGGTTTGTAGGCTGGTTTTCTTTGTTTTATGCTTATTTTGCACATATTAGTACACTTACATGTTTAGTAATCATACTATTTATTCAAATTTGGATAATATAAAGACAAACTGATAGAATGGGCAGGGCATGCAGAATTTTGCTGTCACATATGATGGATTAATTCTAAATATTTACTGTCATTTCCTTGCTGATCTTGATATTTTATGAAATTTGGATAGACAATTAGTGCCCTCACTTCCAAATTAGAGGTAATATCCTCTCTCAAAACTCTGGGAATATTAAGCAATGTACTTCCTCTACAGCCCTTGGCAGAGCAAAAATAAATATAATAAATATTAATTTATTTTTTCCCGAATTTTATTGTACCTCATAATTTTCATATTAACCTCAAATTACTGATTTTTTTTACTACTTGAATCTAGAGTCAATCA